GGAGGACAGGAAGTAGCAATTGAGGTTGGATAAATGAAGGGAGCATTAAGGGACTGATGAGGAGTTGTTGCAGCAGCAGCAGCAGCTCGAGCTAAATTAGCTGTCATATTGTTAAGCATTCCTGATGTCATGTCAAGATTGACACCCGTGCCCATTCTTGCTAGCAAAGGCATCTGAATATGTGGTAATTGCATTCCTAGAGATAATTGCATCATCATTTGAGACTCCATGTTTCTTGCACTGCTTATTAACTGAATTTGTGCTTGAAGCTGCTTTAAGTACTTTATGACTTCGTCCAACATTGATGCTTTATCTGTCTGTATAATCCACAATAACCCTTAAGTTATTAGTTTAATTGTTATACACTAACAACATAAAATAATTAACTTTTAACAACTATCAGGTCACCAAAAAGATAATCACGCAATAATTGTCTTCATTTATCAGTGTGACATTACATATATATGTTGTAGCTAACTCACCTTACTTGCATTTGGCACCAACTTCTGCAGAGCTTTCATCTTTTCGTTGATTCTATCTCGGCGTCTCTAAACCCCAAGAAAAATGTGAATTAATTAGTACATCATATTATAACGCCTCTGCATAGTTAAATATTTTTGGTCCATATTATCCATCTTTTAAGATTTTTGTATACAACCTAAGAAAGATAATGATAACCTTAAGTATAAGAGTATTATTAATTTTGTCTAAAATTTGCTCTATTTCTATCTTAAACATCTGGCCTACTTAACATTTAACTAATTGGTGCAGTAAAAGTGAATTTGCAGAAAAAAGTAGTAGTATCCTTTTTTATTTTGTCCCTTAAATGTCAAATATTTTTTGATAAATTCAGTTTATATGGGACAGGAGATAGTACTGTTTCATTACCTTATTTTTCTGATATTATATTAAGGTATTCATCCCTATAATTAAGGTGCATTAAATCCAACATACCCGCTCCGACTGATTATGAACAGCAGCTGTTCGGCTGCGTCTTAACGTGTTGGAGCCTTTTGTTTCACGTTCTTCCTCCTTGTTTTCCTGTCACAAAGTCATGATCCAATATGGACTCAGAGTTTGATGAGATATATATATATATATATATATATATATATATATATATATATATATATATAAAACCTTCTTTCTTGGGACGGAAGTTATATGAGATCAATTTGAGAGAATACTTAAATGAAAGAGGAGTAAAGAATAGTTAACAATTTTTTTTGTAAAATAACGTAATTAACGAAATTTTCTTGTACATTTATCAGTAGGTATTGACTAGTATTTTTTTTTTCCTTTTCACTAAAGTATAAAAGATTCCTTCAGCTGGAATAAAATCTTATTTTTGGAATTACAATTCTTTTACTGAAAGATACGATGTCTATCTAAAAGTAACAGTCCTAGTTCAAGTATATAACTATAGAAAGTGAATAATTGGAGAATCAATGTTAATTAAGGTCTTCCTAAAATCAAGAAAGTAGTCTCCTAGTCCTAGAGGGAAACAAAAAGACTACCTTTTCTAAGACCAATACCAAATATATTCTGGATTTAAGAGTCAAATATTTTTATGTAAATACTTCTTACACTCTCAACTTAAACTCAATATATAGCCGTATATGTATTTTCTGCCGATTTTTTCTTTAAAAAAGTTGGAAATAATGGAAGTAGTAGTAGAGGCTTCTCCTGACTTCATTAGCAATCTTCCTGAACACCTCTTATGTTCAGTAATCTCATATCTTCCTACAAAAGAAGCCGTAGCAACAAGCATTTTTTCAAAACGTTGGAGATTCCTCTGGAAGTTTTTATCTCGCCTTTCGTTGAATCTGCCACAAGATCGAGTACTTGTCGACAAGATTTTTTCATCACAAGTTGGAAAAAATCTCGAATTTCTTCACATGCATAATCTCCCACGATATTGGAATACTTCAAATAACAACATGAAACGATGGATAAAGCATCTTAAAAACAAAAAAAGACTCCAAGGGATTTCAATTTATTGTGATAAAAACAGTTACCAATCGTCTTTACCAGGAAGCATCTTCCATGGTAGATTTCTTCAAGTGGTGGAGCTAAAAGAATATGTGCTGTCCAATGCTTCCCCCTTTAAAGGTTGTGTCAATGTTAAAACCCTAAAACTCATCGCTATCCATTTAAAGGATGAAACCCTAAACGACATCGTTCGTAATTGTACCTCCTTGGAGAATCTGTGCCTTCATGCTTGTAGCAAGCTTAATATTGATATTCAGCATAAGAAACTCAAGATAATAGAGATTAAAGATATTGATATAATGAAATTTACTTTAGTATCTGAAAGCCTGACTGAGTTGGTGTTTGAACCTAATTCCTGTTACTCTTCCAAAAAATCTCATATTGCCTGTCCAAACCTTCGGATTCTCCGGACCAACAGCAAAGAGCTGCTCGAATGGTGCACCAGTTTGAGGCCAGTAAGTTTTTTTTTTTTTTTGAGTTAATTTTTCGCACAATTTCTTTGTTATTCAGTATTTGTTGAAACTTGATAATTGACATGTATATATTCATTTATTTATTGGATCTAGTGTCGAGATTAT